TATTTGCAAGTGTATTTCAAATCAAATGAAAAGCTATAGAATATAACACTATTATCCCCTCCAAAATAGGGTTATTATCTTGTATTTGTCTTTCTCACTGCAGATCATAGAGTGCCTTTAATTTAGGGTCATTCAAGTATTTGTAGACTATTATATTTGGTGTTGCTTAGTGGCCAAAAAAAAAAAAAAAAACAAAAACGTGTAAAGCAGAAGGATTAAAAAACCAGATTAAAATAGTTCCATAGACATCAGCTCTCCCTAAGATGGATGCTACCGGAAATGTGAAAGCAAAAAATTTCCAATATAGGTACTAAATTTTAAACTAGACTACTAAGCTGTCATTGGCACTATTAAAAGGTATAATGCATAGATTCTCTCCCTGGCATTATTTGTTGGCATGGACTACCAGAACCACTCTGAATAAACATAATCATAATCCATCAATTCTTTTACCTTCTACTTTCTGAAACTCAAGTCCACTTCAAGGTTTTTATTTGCAGAATTAATACCCAACCATATTCTTGTTTTAAAATTAGCCAGGCACAGTGGCACACACCTGTAATCCCAGCTACTCAAAAGGCTACGGCAGGAAGATTGCAAGTTCAAAGATTGCACAGCCAGCCTCAGCAATTTAGAAAGACCCTGTCTCAAAATTTAAAAATTTAAAGACCTGAAGATATGGCTTAGTGATTAAGTGTCTCTGGTACCAAAAAATTAAAATAAAATAAAATGCAAACATTTCAGAAGTTGAGAAAAAAAATGTCCCATTTTGCTGCCTTCTGAGCATTCCTCCAATCTCTTTTCCAACCTTTCATTAATACAAAAACACTTTGCATTTAGTTATGCAGGGTTTCATGCTCTTTTTGGTCTCTTACTGGTTGTTTCCAGATGGAAAATGTTGAGAAACACTGGCCTAGATAGTTTGAATGAACTTCTGAATCTTCAGATTTAGAGATAGTCATTTCCACTTATTTAAAAAAAAAACAAACAAAAAACCTTCTGTGAAAGCTAATTTTAATGGCTTTATGACAAAACACATTGATCTCAATGGAAAGTCATTAAATAAGAATTTTATAAGAGAGCACAGAGAAGTAATAATAACTCTAAGAACACTTGATGAAATTTACTGAGTTTTACTTGGTGCCAGACACTATTCTTAGTGCTTCACAGGATTTTCTAAAATGAATTCCTTATCAGTAAAAAAAAAAAAAATTGAACTCAGGGATTGAACTCAGGGGCACTCAAACCCACTGAGCCACATCCCCAGCCCTATTTTCGTTTTTATTTAGAGACCGGGTCTCAGTGAGTTGCTTAGTGCCTCACCTTTGCTGAGTCTAGCTTTGAATTTGCGATCCACCTGTCTCAGCCTCCCAAGCTGCCACAGGTGGTTTTTATCAGTAAAATTTTAAGATATGGTACATGTGATTATTAGTACCTCTATTCATAATTTTATTTTATTTTAATTTTTTGGTACTAGAGGTGCTTAATCACTAAGCCATATCCTCAGGCCTTTTAATTTTTAAAATTTTAATCAGAGGTACCTCTCTATTCATAGTATTGGAGCCCATGTCTGAATTAAAAGATTCTCAACTACACCAGTATTTCTTAAACTTTAATCATTCACATATTATCATCATAATTAGTGCTATATTTTCACTGTTATTTACTGAATACCTTTCAACTGATTCTCCCTCTTTAAAATTAAATTTAGTTTTAAAGGAAATACAGTATTATCACATAGACTAGACACCAAAATTATTTGCCATAAATACACATTAAGTAGAAAAATACATTCAATAAAACAAAGCAATCTTATTAAATTCTAGTTAGATATTGCTGGCTGCTGATATTCCTGAGCATAAAATCCTAGATGTTTCTGCTAAAAAAATTAAATCAGCAAGCATTACTAGTATATGTAAATTAGTATCAATCAGGTTTAAGCAGAAAAATTGATGAGAGGACTAAAAGAGAATTCCTACTTCCTTGCTATGCTTTTTCAACAATATTTAACTTGGACTAGGTACTATCTAAAATAACTTCCTAGGACCTATATGGTTTTGCATTTCACTACAAAACAAATCCCAAAATATTCTGCAAAATATTCCAAAATGATTTGGAAATTTCCTGAAGGATCTCTTTTTATTTCTATTTTAGTTATGAATCTCAAAAGAAATCTTGTTTGACGACACACTCCAATATGCCTATTAACTAATGGTAGGCAATATCAAGCTAGCAGAAATTAACTTATCTAAAAACTCTGTCTTCAGAAGGCAAATATTGGGTAGATGAAATAGTATTGATCTATGAAGCATAATCAAACTCAACTATATACTACCTTCTTTGACCTTAAATAGGTCAATAACACTCAGATATGTTTCTAATCCACAAAAAAGAGGGAAGGGGGATGCTACCTCCCCATAGGGTGGGTATATGGACAAAATGAGACATATTTGCATAACAGATACTCAATACATGACAACTGGATCAAAAGTTACATGTAACCTTTAGTTTTTTCCAACTGACAAAACAGCCAGGTGTTTTTATCTTAATAAAAAGAACTCAAAATTGTTTCCCTGTAATAATCTATAGAAACTATTATTCAGTTTCAAATACAATCTTGAAAACTGAAACTAAACCAAAGGTCATGCTTATGAAGATCTGAAATATCCCATAAAAAGTATAAAAACCAGGGTGACTGGTCATCAGTTAGTCCAAATTCAATTGGACTATTGAATACAATTCCTAAACAGAAAAAAAAATATCAAGGCAAATATTCTTGGTACATAAAAAATGATTTCCCACATGAATAATATCTAAATATATTTTATAGTGGCTTAAAATAAACTAAGTCTTTCTTCCTTCATGTATGGCTGAAATATTTACTAAATAAATAAATAAATAAGATAGCTAAAATTACAGTGCCATCTAGAGGCAAAGTAAATAAGATGGCAAATTTTATTCCTTTCATACTCAACATTTATAAGAAAAATTTTTAAAATATTTTTTCCTTGTTGATAGAACTTTACTTTTATTTATTTAGATGTGGTGCTGAGAATCAAACCCAGTGATTCACATATACTAGGCAGCACTCTACCACTAAGCTACAACCCCAACCCCAGATTTTTGTAATTTATACACTCATTTTCTAATTCCATTTACAGAATATAACTTATGAAATAAAGTTAAAACATTTTTTCCTAATAAAAAAATTTTACTACCTGAAGAACATCACTTCATTCTCAATAAACAAACTCTGAAGGCAATTTAAAAAAAACAATAGTGCTATAATATCCAATTATTTTGTTTTGAGATTTATTTATTGGCAAGTTATAAAATTCCAAAAACAGTAACTTTTCAGTATTTAAAAAAAAACACACACTTCATCATCTTAAACGAACATTTTCTTTTATTTTTTTCTCTTTCAAGCTTGCACCTTAAGACATTTATTTATAATAACTTAAATGTTTGTTAGGCACTTCTTATATTAGTTAGTACTCATGAAATCCTCACACAAATCCTATGGACTGAGTAAAGTCTATATTAACATACCTATTACAAATGTTGAAACTGAAGCTCAGAAACTTAAGTATCTTACCCAACGCTATAACTAGCAGAGCCAGGGTTCAAACTGGGGGAGTTTCTCTCTAATATTTGTGTTTTTAATCACCATGCCAACATGCCTCTCATTTGTAAGTTAAATTCAGTGCCTTACTGCATTTGTAGTATCTTTTAGGGGAGCAATAGTTTCTAATGTTACTAAATCTTTCATCATGATTTTTAATAACTACATGTTTGCCATCAATTTGGTATATCTCATTTTATTTATATTGATTATTTAATGCAGTCACTGAAATTATTTCTGATTTCTTTTACCATATAGAACAATACTGCAACAAGCAAATTTTGCACTGCAAATAGTTTTTTCCCTTCTTTTGAATTTTCTTATGCTGACTTTCCCTAAATGGTTAGACTGACTTTAAGAAGATAAAAGTGACTTGTTATTAATATATAATGATCCATACTATTTTCCAGACTTCATCATGATATAATGCAATGAAAGGATGCTCAGATCTTCTCTTTTCAATTAAAACATATCTGTCCTTCTCCCCCAAACACAATTAACTGACAAAAAGTCATTAGGATTGATACTATATTTATAGCAGCACAATTTACAATAGCGAAACTGTAGAACCAACCTAGATACCCTAGATGAATGGATTAAAAAATGTGGCATATATACACAATGGAATATTACTCAGCAATAAAAGAGAATAAAATCATGGCATTTGAAGGTAAATGGATGGAGTTAGAGAAAATAATGCTAAGTGAAGTTAGCCAATCCAAAAAAAAAAAACAAATGTCAAATGTTTTCTGATATAAGGAGGTTGATTCATAGTGGGGGAGGAAGAGGGAACATGGGAGGAAGAGACCAAATCTAGATAGGGCAGAGGGATGGGAGGGAAGGGAAGGTGCATGGGGCTAGAAATGATGGTGGAATGTGATGAACATTATTATCCAAAGTATATAGATGAAGACACTAATTGGTGTGAATATACTTTGTAAACAACCAGAGATATGAAAAATTGTGCTATATATGTGTAATAAGAATCGTAATGTATTACACTGTCATATATAAAATAATTTAAAAAAAGAATGATTCATGATGTGAGACAGTGAAATCAACAAACATTAA